TATGAGATGATAAGTATTTGACTGATTCAGTAACTATATGTGTCTGTCAATATTGAAGATTATTTATTGTAGTGAAATTTCCTGATTATGTACAGGTTGATAAAAGTTTTAACAAAAAAAAGGTGAAGAGAGAGGGAACATTATCAACACTTCACAAATAACTACACAGTGTGCTAAAGTCAGTATGATGGTGAAAATAGTCTTAAATTATGCATGCAAAATGGAGGATTTCAATAAATTTTCATAAAACAGAATTATTGTGACCAATTCTACTTTTGTCCATTCTTATTCTTCCTCTTTGATTTCTTGATTTATATTTTTTTCACACACACACAAAAGATTAAATGAGTTAACATGTAAAAAAATAATGTATTAAACTGTATCAATGACTCATCAAACTAGACAGTGGGCAGCAAAGGTTTAGATGCTGAAAATGAAGAATCTGTTGTCAACTAGGAGCCTTAATTTAAAAAATCTGTATTCCATGAGGCTGTTTTGACTTTGTCAAATATTTAAACAGTTCTCAAAAGTTAATTTTTGGAGCAAAGACCTCAGTAAATGGTAAATAATGTTATTCTGAAAAGATTATAAGTCTGACTAATACAGAAATTCCTATTCTGCAGCTCATATTCATCCAGATTTTTCTCATTTATAAAAATACTCTTATAGGTTGCGAAATATTTGGAATAAATGTGGGCACTTTCTCCTCAAAATGAGAGTGCTCTGATCTGTGACAAAGAAAAATGTATGTAATTTCTTACAAAGATGTTTAATTTTCATTTTATGACATTATACTCTGTGAACACATATCTAGTCTTTAATTAAACATGATTTATACAAATTGAGGTCTGTTTCCATTTAGACTGCTTTCAGTGTTAATCACGGTGGTAAGTAGCCTTCACCACTGAAAGCTTTCCTACATTATATTAATATATAAATGCTTCTCTGTGATTTGCATCTGTTCTTCGAGCACTCATGTTACTAGATATGTAAATATGAGAAATGTTTTAATTGTTTAAAATATTCCAGAACATACTCACTTACGACAACACATGTTTTATGAATTTCAATTGAAGGGTAGTACTTGGTTTTGTTCTTATTTGGGGGCTACACATGCTAGTATTCAGGGCTTACTTTTGGCCCCATGCGCAGGCATCTTTCACAGTGGGGATCAAGGGTCCATCTGGGGTACTGGGGATCCAACAAAGCCTGACTGTGTGCAAGGCAAGCTTCTTACCAGTTATATAATTCTCAAACCACCATAAAGGTAGACGTTTTGTTTACAGAAATATATAAATGATAAGTCATTCACTATCACAAGTTGAATGTAACTGTAGAGCATTTGACCACTACAAACAAAATCCCAGTTTTTCTTAACTCATATTAACCTTTGGATAAAGATATAATGTATTTTAAAGTCAGTTGTTCTTTTTTCTTTCTTTTTTTCTTTTTTTTTTGGCTTTTTGGGTCACAAGGATTACTCCTGGCTCTGGACTCAGGAATTTTTTTTTTTTGGCTTTTTCGATGCACAGGGATTACTCCTGGCTCTGGACTCAGCAATTATCCCTGGAGGTGCTCAGGGGACCATATAGAATGCTGGGAATCGAACCCAGGTTGGCTGCATGCAAGGCAAAAGCCCTACCCGCTGTGCTATTGCTCCAGCCCAAAAGTCAGTTGTTCTTAATAATAACTTCTTTTGTTGGTTATTTTGTATCAGACCTGATAAAGAGCTAGAAAGGTCAAAGGTTGATTTGTCTTGAATAGATTCAGATTCACATGTTATAAGGGCTATTTATCGTGTAAAGACTTGGAAGAAATAAGGAAGCCAAGGACAATTGTGCCTGCTAACCTTAATAATATATGTATAATTCTTGATTGCTTAGTATTCACTATAAAAATGTCAACGTTTTATTTTAATTATTTTCATTTTGTTTAGACACTGAAATTTTTACGGTTGTTTACCATAGTGTTTTAGGCATGCATTATTCCTAAATTCAATCCTGTGTACAGGGCTTGAGTAGTCATATAATGGGTGGTGCACTTTCCTAGCACATAACAGATGTGGGTTCAATTTCTGGTTTCCCCAGATTGTCGCCCAACCCTGCCAGTAGTGTTTCTGAGTACAGTACCTGGTACAACTAGGTATACGAACAACAAGATCAAATTATGTTTCATATGTGATTTGTTCTGGACATCAGTGCTAGGCTAAGTATATAAAAGATCAACTTTTTACATATAAAGTCAAAAGTACAAAGCAGTGCATTCTCTAAGACATTTTGTCTTGTAGTGTTAGTGGCATGGTTATAATGATACTAACTTGATTTTGAGGTACAAAGTTACTGCACCTTCAGCACCACCAGAGTGCGCAAGACCCAGCACTGCTGGGGCCGGGTCTCCTCCAGCGCCCCCTTCCCTCCCTCACCCCGCAGCTTCTGAAGCTCAGTTTAACAACCAAAGGACAGGGGTTTATTCTCATTTGATGCTGTCAATATGCCAAACATAGTAACAAGAAGTCTCACAGTGGAGACATTACTGGGCCCGCTGGAGCAAATCAATGAACAACGGGAGGACCATGACCGTGACCGTGATGCTGTCAATGCCATTGTTTCTTTTCTCTTTGTGCTACAAGTTAGTGAGATCATCTGGTATTTGTTCTCTCTTTGACTTATTGCACTTAACATGGTGCCTCCAGTTCACCCAAGTTGTAACAAAGTGCAAGATTCATCTTTTTTTATATATCTTCACAATATCCATTGTGTGTGTGTGTGTGTGTGTGTGTATTTGTGTGTGTATGTGTTGTTTGGTTTGTTTCCACATCATGGCTTCTTTGGTAAGTGCTGGATTGAGCATAGGTATGCATATATATTTTTTTCAAATTAATACTTGTGTGCTGAAGCAATAGCACAGCAGCAGGGCGTTTGCCTTGCATGCAGCTGGCCCGGCAGAGCTGAGTTCGATTCCTCCGCCCCTCTCCGAGAGCCCGGCAAGCTACCAAGAGTACCTTGTCCGCACGGCAAAGCCTGGCAAGCTACCCATGACGTATTCAATATGCCAAACACAGTAACAGCAAGTCTCAAAATGGAAACGTTACTGGGCCTGCTCAAGCAAATCAATGAACAACAGGAGGGCAGTGCAATGCTTGTGTGTTATTGGGAAGGATGCCAAGAAAAGACATTAGACACATTACTCAGTGACCAAACATTGTCATTGCTTTAAATTGTACTGGCAGTGAAATAAAGAGCACGGGTCCAGTGACACAGCCTGAATGTAGATCTCAAGTTCATAATGCTTCAGGTCCTAAATTTAAAACCTTGCACTGTAAGCTGTGCCCATCTCAATGCTGCCACTGAAGCCCTAGTGACTGATGAGACCACAAGGTGAATGGTACCACTTCACCCGGAGCTGTAACAACAATCCAAATCATCAGGCCACTGGTGGTGACCCATATAAAAGTATATAAATTATTTAGAGACTCATGAGCCATTTTGAAAATAGTTTACAGTAGTCACACAAAGATTGAAGATTTGATCAGACTAAAAAGAGCTCAATACTTTATCAGAAAATTAAAATATCCCTTAATTTTCCTCCTGCCCTCATGGCTTTTTTTTTGAGAGGTATAGAGCCAGGTATTTGAAAGTATGTTGTAATTTCCATCATACAGTTCCTTTTAAAGATGAAAAGATTATGATTTTAACTTATTATTTGGTGGGAAAGGTGCTCTAATGATTTAGATTCTGAGCACAGTCATGGTTATATCAGTATGAATTCTCAAGCTATGAAAGTCCACTAAAAATTAAAAATACTTTATTTTCAGAGAAGACTAGCACTTGCCTAGAGAAATCTTTTATAGAAAACCTTGAAAGAAACATTGACGAACTCTGTTTGGAAACTTTGAAAACTTTGTTTTTCAGGAAATCTGTATTAGTCATGAATAATCTTTCAATAAAATATAGAACTTGTGGACATACAAAGAGCATTATATAGAAGCCAGGGTCTACATTTGTGAGAATCAGTCTCCCGTTAAAGGAGTAAGAGGCACAGCGACAGGATTTCTTAAGTAACACCATTCATTTCTGTAGATTTCAAGGAAAAACAGAGTTGTGGGAATAAGAGCAGAGAAGAAAATACTGTAAGTGACAGAGAAAGCCAGGGGGAATGCTGTGAAACTTCCAACAGTTTTACTAACTCTTACAAAAGTCAGCATGATGCTTTGCTTAGGAAGAAATGTTGCTTAAATATTACTGATTCATATTTGACCGAATTACTTAAGATTTCTTTATTTTTCACTTCAAAATCATAATCACTGTCTCCATTGCCCAAAATTAACATGGGAATTACCATAATTTGATGAGTGTTTTATATTTCCTATGATTTTTACATCAGGTTTAATAATGGTATATCAAAGGTAACCCCCTTAGTCATCTTAACTTTAGAAACTCTAGAATGAGATTAGGAAGTGATCATCATTTGCATTTATTTTACTTTGCATGTAAAGAGTTTTAGCTATTAGCTCTAATTTGCTTCACATCACATTCATCAAAGGCAAACTATTTGGAAACTGAAACATCTCTGTCAGTTAAAATTTTAATGAATTAAGATGAAATAAGACAGTGTTAATTGGCAGTTGTTGCTGCAGGGGAGGTTTCTGGGCCTTGTAAGTGATAGCAATTCATCTCTCTATCAAGGTTAATTTGTTTGATGTAATTCTAAAGATATACCGAATATTTCCCAAAACTATTCATATTTATTTTGAGGATTGAAGACCAGATAAGTTCTGTTGTTGTTTCATTCAGATTCTCAATTCCATCTAAATTGAATTTAATTTAGTTAATAAAAGACTGATTTTTAAGCAGTATTTTGGTATTGTTGATGCTATATATTCATACATCATAATAGCAGCAATTAGATTTTGTTTTATTTAAAAGTGTTTAAAGCATTCTGCTAACCAATATTTTTTTTAACCACTAATCCTCTTCCTCTGCTTTTTCTCTTTTCCTTAGACATAAATGAATGTGAAGCTGAGCCTTGCAAAAATGGTGGAATATGTACAGACCTTGTTGCTAACTACTCCTGTGAGTGCCCAGGTGAATTCATGGGAAGAAATTGTCAATACAGTAAGTATTCATTTGTATGAATGTATATTTATATGACATATTTTATTTGTATAGTCTGTTTCTATTATAGATCTAAAATCAGTATAATGTGTTTCAAGAGTTCATCATTTGTTGAAATGGAACATTTCATATTTATCTTTATAATGCTAATAATGACCATCTTTCCTACAGGACAGTTCTCACTGAATGCAAAGCATGAATAAAAGTGCTCTAAAAGGAGGGCAAATGTAGTTCCTTAGAGAGCCCGGAGCAGCTCTCCCACAAATCCATTTTGAATATTGAGTATGTATAAAACTTACAGAAAAAAATTTCCAACACCAGAGTGGCTACTGTGTTTTACACAATAAATCCAAAACACTCTAACTAAGCAATCTCTAGCACAAACAAAAAATGTTGAGAGAAAAGAGGATCCTGACCTATGCATTAGTAAGAATTTTTTTTTTATTTTTACCTGAATTACTGTAACTGTCTAGTTACAAAACTGGTCATGATTGGTTTCAGTCATACAGTGTTCTGACATCCCTTCACCAGTGTACATTTCCCACCACTAATGTCTCCAGTTTCTCTTTCACCAAACCCCCTCCATTGATAAGAATTTTACACACTACTTTTTAATGCGTAAATTATTAAGATAGTTAGAGGATCAAAATTCAAGAAAATAATCTGCCTGACTGTTGATAAAGTCACAAAACACCCCTTCTTATCAAAAAAATACTAAATAGATAAATGTGGTGCGTGTAATGACATTATAATAAATAAAATGAGACTTCTGTGTTAATGGCAACAGTAAACGATTTGCTTTATTAATGTAGGTTCTTCTACAGAAACTTTAAGAGCTACTCATTTGATATATGTTACTACACTTGTGCATCATAACATTATGCAAATTCAGAAGGTAGATGTAGATGAGAATTGAAATACAGTAACTCTACATGTAAACTATGTGTTTTGCTTAACTTCTCAGTGACAGAAGTAGGACTAGGAATCAGATCTTGTGGTTACAAATTCAGCATATTTCTGCATATTCTAAATCAATATATTTTGGATAGAGACGAACAAAAATACATTGCACCTCTTCTCTTTTACAGATACTCTTTATTCCTTTTCTCTCTTTCTCTCTACTCTCTCATCCCCTGCAACTCTCTTTCCCTTTCTCTCTCTCATACACCACACACACACACACACACACACACACACTTCTTATCCATAGTAAACAGTTCTTCACCGCCTCTCTTTAATTTTTTTTCAAAATTCAATTATAAATAATACAGGTATAATTATTAACGAAGGTATTTAGGTTATGTACTAAAATGAGATGGACTCATTTCCTAGTCCAAAAAGCCTTCATCTTTTTTTAAAGCATAATATGAGACAAATACCCAAGGATAGTAGATACAAGGGCCAGAAAGACCTGTCCATGGTTAGAAGCCTGCTTCAAATACTTGGGGAGAAGGTTGTTGGGATAGAGAAGGGACCACTATGACAAAAAGTAGTTGGAAATGATCACTCTGGATAGGTACTGTCTTCTGAAAATAGGTCAAAGAACAAATATGATAATCTCTCAGTATTGTTCTTGCAAACACAAAAGGAGAGAAAGGGAACAGACAGACAGACAGACAGACAGACAGAGAATGGAGATGATGTCTGCCATAGAGATAGGCTTCATGGTGGCAGGGGGGTGCCATGAGGGAAACTGGGGACACTGGTGGTCTGAAATGTACACTGGAAGAGGGATGGGTGTGGGAAGATTGTAAAACTGAAAGCCCATTATGAATAGCCTTGTAACTGTGTATCTCATGGTGACTCAATAAAAAATTAAATAAATAAAATAGTAAAATTGAGGGTATTAAAGGAATGCCTTGAAACAACAGAGACATTTTTCAGTGCTTAAAAAATAATTGCTGCAGTCTGCAGAGACAGTACAGGAGTAAAGATTTGCCTGACATATAGCCAGGTTTGAATCTCAGCTCCACATGTGGTCCCCTTGGTCCCAACAAAGTGATTTCATAGTATAAAGCCTACAGAAAGCCCCAAGCACAGCTGTGTGGCCCAAACCTTCCTCCCTCACTACCCAAATTAGTAATTGTACAACACTGAGTATCAGTTGATGGAGGGAACTCTAACTATGGATGAATTGATGGAAAGGGCCAGGTGAAAAAACAGCTCACTATATGACCAAAAAAAAAAAAAACTAAAGAAAAAAATCTGTTCTAGGGCTGGGCTTAGACACATTGAAATCTCAGTGAGGTTAAACTTCTGAATAGTCAGCTTAATTCTTTGCAGAATGTTGGCTATATTAGTTGACTGTATATCTTTGTCTTGTATCGCATTCTTTTCTTAGATTTCTAGGGTTTGTGGATGGCTGCCTTCCAATCAACATTGGAAGCTGTGATAAAATGTAGTATCCTCAATGTTTCTATAAATGAACACATGGTTTTCATGAATAAGAACATAAAAAACTGAGTGGACAAGGAACATGCCTTGTACATGGCCCACTGGGTTTGTTCCCTAGCATCTCATATGGTTTCCCAAGACAGCCAGGAGCAATTTCTTTCTTTCTTCTTATTTTTTCCAATTTTTTATTAGTGAATCACAGTGAGGTACAGTTACAGACTTACAAACTTTCATGCTTGTGTTTCAGTCATACAATGCTCAAGTACCCATCCCTCCACCAGTGCCCATTCTCCACCACTGATGATCCCAGAATCCCTCCAACACCCACCCGAACCTGCCTCTGTGACAGGGCATTTCCTTTTGTTCTCTCTCTTCTTTTGGATGTTGTGGTTTGTGATAGAGATATTGAGTGGCCATTGTGTTCGATCTATAGTCTATTTTCAGCCCACCCGCTTGGGATGGGAGATGCCAGGAGCAATTTCTGAGTGCAGAGTCAGAAGTAACCCCTGAGTGCCATCATTGTGGCCCCAAAACAACAAAACAAAACAAAAAACAAAGAACAAATATATGATGCTAAATACTGTTTTAAATAGAAAAAAAAATCTGGTACCAGATTAAATGGCCTCAGGTAGTTCTGGAAATTCAGAAGCACTTCAAACAATGTCTGGATAACAGCCTGCCCAAGGCAGTGCTAAGGACTCATAAGAGGCCAGAGGGAAATAGGAGGATGAGAGTTCCCTGTCACTGTCAATTTCCTGTCACTGCCCTTCCATTGTTCATCCATTTGCTCGAGTGGGCCCAGTCTCTATTGCTAGACTTGTTGTTACTGTGTTTGGCATAGCGAATACACCACGGGTAGCTTGCCAGGCTCTGCCGTGCAGGCGAGATACGCTCAGTAGCTTGCCAAGCTCTTCGAGAGGGGCAGAGGAATTGAAACCGGATCGTTCGGGTCAGCTGCGTGGAAGGCGAATGCATTACCGCTATCTTATGAAAAGAAGCACTGTAGAGAGAGCATGTTATGAGAACTCTGCCTCGGCATGAGGATCATACTCAGGCACACAAGCCTTAACTTGGAATGAGACTAAGACGTGTCTTCTGCCGGTGTAGACATGCAGAGAGAGAAACCTAGAGACTTCTGATCTCAAACAAGATGAACACTGGACTCTTTAGTTTTATGGGCTCACAGGACCTGTTCACACCTCTGCCCATTTTCCCCCCTCTTTCCTGAATCGTTTAGAACTAAACTGTGGCTATTCTTTCCATTGTCTACCTAACCCAGCCTGGTTCACAATTGACACATTCTTCCTTCCTGCATCACATTTTCTTTTTTCCTTCAGGGTTCTGTTATGGTATAATTCTACTATTTGAATATGGTTATTGCATAGAATCCATCTTATTAATAGCTATTCCCCAACCTCCCTACATCCCAACTTGATATTCCCAAATAGATACTCATTGTCTTCTTTATTGGATTTTTGATCATTAATCACTAATACATAATCTGTTTACTTTTGTGCCTTATTTATTGCCTACTCCTCCAGTGAAATTATTGTTGCATGAGAGATAACGTTTACTTTTTCCTGCCCATATTATATCTTACTTTTCTCAGTATATGCAAGTACTTTTATTTTTCATTTGAATTTCAGTTTTTTAAGGTAGTATTCTAAGTTTATCTAGTATAATAAAATGTTGCCTACTATATGCATTTCATATTCAATAAATTATATTCTACATTAATTTGCAGTATTTTGATTTGATAAAATATTTTAGAGTTCTGCATTTCAACGGAGGCAAACAAATAGATTTAAGTATCAGATTAACAAGTACTATATTTGTTTTTTAGATCACTTCTGCATGTAAATTTTTTGAATATTTATCTTTAATCACTTCAGTTATTTATCATTCATTTCAAACAATTAGACACAAACAAATGCTATACTATGGCTAGCTACTATTACTAATGAGTTTTGATGATGCAGAAATGGGAATATTGAATGTAACATTTTTCATCATGTAGACCAATCTTTAAGGACATCAATTAATTATCAAAATCTTTACTTTTCTAAATTGGAGAGATACTTCAATGAATTGAAGTACATGTTTAGAAAGTAGGAAGCTGAGAATAATCTCTGGAACTGCATGATTCCCCTGAACACTTCTGGTAGGTGATCCCCTACCATTAGTCAATAATAACCCCTGATAACTGCCATATGAGCCCCACATATATCTGTGTATACATGTGTATACATATATAATATGTATACTCATGTATGTGTGTTCTTCTTAGATTTTAATATCTGATTTACACACATTTTATCAGAGTTATAAAGTAATTTATTATTATCATTACCTTTTATTTCAAGATATATGCACACCTGTATTCATTGCAGCACTTAGTGCAATAGGCAAGATAACAACCCAGATGTCTAATAACAGATTACTGTCATTGTCACTCTTCTCCTGTTGTTCATCAATTTGCTCGGACAGGTCCAATAACATCACCATTGTGAGACTTGTTGTTATTGTGTTTTGGCATATCATACATCACAGGTAGCTTGCCAGGCTTTGCCTTGGGGGCAAGATACTCTTGGTAGCTTGCTGGGCTC